TACCTATTTGCCAAAAATAATAAAAACGCACATAATTCAGTAAGTTACAAATGAAGAATGAAAATTATAATAATTTAAATTATCGTTCTTATTATAAATGCAGGAGCTCTTGTAAAAACAGTGAAGTAATTTATTTGCAATAAATTAATAAATAATAAAAAAAGCAAAAACCTACAAATGAGAATTACAATAATATAAGTTAACGTTCCTGTGATAACTTTTGCAGGAAAAGTAAAGTAACTAATTTACAATAATTAATAAACAATAAAAAAGCACATAACTCAAAAAGCTACAAATGAAGAATGAGAATTACAATAATTTATGTTAACGTTCTGGTGGAAAATGCAGGAACTTTTGTAGGAAAAATTAAGTACCTTATTTAAAATAATTAATAAATAATCAAAAAGCTGATAATCAGTGACCTTTGTGTTATATTCAACTTCAGCACACAGTCATAACGTCGTATCCTATGTCAAATCCAACATCAGTTTTTCCTTGAATATCTGACATTCCATCTGATTCGAAGTAAACGTAAAGGGGACCAGGTGTTTCGGCTGATTGTATGGAATGATATCAAATTAAAATCGGTTAAAGGTACAGAAAAAAGAAACCATTATACCTCATTATTTTAATGGTTAGGTACAGAACGCGCCAAATGCACTAACGATTTAACAAATTTAAAAAAAGTTACACAAATGCACTAACGTATTTTGATAAATTTTTTTATGAATTGAAACAGTCATTAGATGAGGAAAAAAATCAATATTAGTAACTATCACAAAATCGACTGTATCCCAATATTAATGGTAGGAAAAATTATTAGATTATTAAATAAAATCTAATTAAGTTTGATATTTTCTAATGGTTTTTGGATTTGGTATTATTTGATTTGAATTGTGGTGAGAATAAATGAGTTATAAGAAGAAAATACTACAAATGGCGCGGTAAAGGTGGTACGATGCTACATTTTAGGATTACGTATGCTCCAACAAGGATTTCGACAGAATATAGACCACTTCGAATTATTTTGTTCGATTACGGTAACGTGCCTATCACGTTTAGGTTAGCTACGCCGGGATTCGTTTCAGCAAGTAGATATCCATATATTTAAATGGACCTTGCTGGAGCATACGTAATCCTAAAATATAGCATCGTACTACAGATAGCGTTTACCGCGCCATTTGTGGTATTTTCTAAAACGCGCTGTTAAGATAACAGGTAAAAGTTGGTCTGTGTTCTGTCGGAGCTGTCTGCGACGCACTGATGAGATCCAAAAAAATAGAGAAACACTCGAGACCCCGAAGGTCTTTTTTATAGTAATTTAGCTTCCCAATTGACTATAGTTCAAACTTTAACTTTCTTTAAACTGGTAAAACCCTAAGTCTACAGTTTATTTTTGAGAAAAGCTGGGAGTATATGAAATTGATTGCAAAGATTTCAATAATAAATCTGTTAGACAAACTAGAAGTTCTATTCACGTTAGGACCAGAGAGCATTCAGCTCATGCCGGGTTTGGTGGAACAAAAAAAAGTATTCTTGCTGAAAATAATAAGACCAATATTGATCACCTTAAATAAGTTGAGAAAATCAAAAATAAGCTTGCTTAATAGTTGTATTAACGTGGTTTTTCTTCTCTTTATACTGACAAGGGTTCTATGCCCAGTTATCCGCTGTTTACTGTAATTTAATCTATCATTGTTTAAAATCTGCTAAACTCAGTAAAAAATCGCAAGTCTTAATTGTACACCTAAATAAATATTTATTTAAAGATTTTACGTTTAGTTAAAATTATAACATTTTATAATTATGCTTGCAAAAATCTAAAATACTGTAATTAATTATGAACCATTAGTGCATTTGAACAGGGAGATAAAAAACGATAAGCTAGTGCAATTGGGCAATGATATTAATTGGGGATGTACTTACAAACGAAAGTGCTTCCGGATTTGTGGTCGCACACTTTTCCCACCATGTTAACGGGACTAACTAATCCAGGGATGAATAAGTGGTCGTCGCAGGTGGTTTCCAACCTACCGTATTGCGGCGAGATTTGGAAGTAATTAGCGTAAAATCTGAAAAGAAAAATGATGATATTTTATTTAGGTATACACAGACTGCTTACTTACTACTAATTAACGGTAAAATCTACCGAAGTAGTAGAACAAAGGGAGCCCACACCAACCCCATAGCAATTACCTGCTAGGTATTACACAACAAAATATTTCATATCTGTTAATTTACTTGCATTTTGCAATGTTTAGGATAGGATCATAGACGAAATTTGCCTTATCTTTATTCAGACTGAACTGAATTTAACCATTATGTAGTATTTAAAACCAACGTTTCGTTAAGTAAGTAAATATAATGGAAAATAAATAAATTAAATTAGGTAGTTATTTATGCAGCATTTGGGCCTAACAAGTATATGAAAAACTTTTAATATATAAATAAATTAAGATACAAATCCTTCCTTAACAAAAGAATATTATAATTCTAATTATGCAAATAGCTTTTACTAAATTATAGTCACAACTTCATAGTGACTTTAAAATCCTACACGCACTTAATAGTAGTAGTTACTAATTGTTTTTATTCGGGATTTTAAAATCACAAAATTTAAAAATTTTAACAGCTTAATCGATGGATAAGCAGATTTAAAAAGCTCTTCACTTCTCTTCCAATAATATCTGAGAAATACATTTAAAGAAAATAACACCCAATGGAAAATTTAACTAATTTTTATTCAGAAGCACAAGAATCGCCAAACACTATCTTTATCAGGCTGAAGTATTTGCCAATTTTGAACTTTTAAATTTCATGCATAAAAGCGATTAAAGGGTTTGTATAGAAGTATAAGAAAATGTTGCTTTTAGATATCATTAAAATTATTACGATGTGTGCAATGCAACGCGGAAAAGTGTCATAAATGAAACAAATGAAAACAGGATTGCATCAATTTTAATAGAAGCTGGTGAAAATTTCGCTGTATTCCTAAAGGATGAATAGGACGAAGAATTTGAATGGAAAGTTGTATATTTCTATATGCAAGAAAATAATACGAGAATCCCGTAGATTCAAAGAAGAAGGTATCGGGAAGTAGAAGAGACATGGAAACTAAAATTAAGCCAGGGAAAGAAAAGCATCAGTGAAGAACCAAACCAAGCGAAATAAAAAAAGTTAAAATTTAATGAAAATAATAACTTACTTTATTCCGCATGCATCTTTCGGTCGTTTGAAACAAATTGCGTATTTTTGGTTAACTGTGTAACGGCTTATATCTGGCCTGGTTATGTCATAACCAAACGATTTAAAAACCCCTTTGCGTTCAGGATAATATTGTAGACATCCCGAAGGCGCTATGAAAAGAATAATTATTTTATTTTCATGGTGTAACAAGTGTTTACAATAACGAGTACTGACTCGTCAGTTTATAATATCTGCACATTCTAATATCTAATGCAGGAGCTAATGCATTTCATTAATCATGATATCTACAAATCATTTTGTAAATTACCGATCAAATTGTAATCAGTAGCAGCTGCATTCTCTGTGGTAAATGCGCTTCTTGTTCCTGGACATTCCAGTTGTGTTACCCTAATATGCCAGTTGGGAATGGGGAGGTGCGGATGTGTGTACCTGTCAGTCATTAAAATACTTAGAGTGACTGACATTGTTCCTTCTGTTGCATTAACAGGAATATACACTGCAATTGAAAATTGTTGAAATCGTAACACTAATCGTCCAACTTCTCTAAATTCTAAAGTATGAATTACTGTAATAAAGAACAATAAGTTTTTGGTAATTATTTATTAGTTCTCATCGGCACTCGGTACGAAACAACTTCAATTTGGTTTTCGAGGCAATCGTGGCGTGCTGAAGAGGATTAATAAATTCCAATTCGAGATTCATGTCTAGAGGTTTCGATAAATTACCATCAAGAGATTAATGTTCTTTATTAATTTGGCTACGTGTCACTACTGTTAGCAGCAATTATCACTAGATGGTGAACTGCCTGTTACTTGATACGACTTACTGTGTTGTCCGTCATTTCTTCCGCATATTGCTGGTATTCTTGGAAATTTATCCACAAAAAACAGATCAGTGTTACAAGTGACAGTCATGCTAGAATTATCCACACTGGGGGGTGCCAAAGTCATTCTAATAAAGTCTACACTGAAAAATGATTTTACGTTTTAATATAGCGTAATACAAGCAAATTAAAATTCAAAGGTAATAATATTTTTAACATTAATCATCATTTGAAACATATAAAACCGTTTTAATTATTTTAATTTCCATTTATTATTAAGAATGCTTGACAAATGCCCTACTACTAATAAGTAGATAGTCAACAGAAGTTATTTTAATAGTTCATTCGGTTTAATAATAACATATAATTTACCTCCATCGAAAGTTTTTAAGCAACTAAAATTAGCCACCAATAAGCTTTTAATTTTTTTGAACCAATTTACCGATAAACTCTTTAGGTTTATGGCAAAAAATGATGAAAAATCGTAGAAAAAGTATTCTTCAGGTGCTTCTTTTCATTTTTTTTCATTTATATAAAGATGATTTTACAATATTATAACACGTTTGTTATGTGATTTCTATATTACTAAATTTATAGGCTTATTAAAAAAATAATTTGCTTTGAATTTTTTTCTGAAATCAATGAAAATCAATAACAGATAAATAATATTTTCTTATTGATAGCAAAGCAGCACATGAGGTATCCCTTTTTTTAGTAGCAGGTCGAAGTTACTGGACATTTTAGAATGCAATTTATGCAAGCTTGATCGCGTAATTATCTTTCATGAGTGAATCAATGTGATTTTGCTCCTTCGTCAAAGGGATTTTCAAAGGCAGTGATCTAATATAGCAAACACAAAAGAGACATTTTTCTTTTTCTTAGTTCCTTGGTATCGCTGTAACTCTTAATGTGCCTTTAGCATTAGTCGGGTAAAATACATTTGCAACTTTGTAATCCTGACGACATTAATTACATAATAATAGGTACGCATTGGACTTAAGTCTAGTCGTTAAAGCCTATTCGACAGATGTTTAAAATTGAAACTTACCGCATTTGGCATATATTTTTGTTATGCAGTTTTACCGTATAATGGCATGGTTTTGAAAAAGCACTAATTGTGTTTCCCGACTGGAAATTGGTAATTTTAGCTGACGTTGTTCCTCCACAACTTTTCGCAACTAGAACAAATTTCATCAAAAAACTAAAACATGACTCCACTTATATAAGTTGTAGTGCGTATGACAAACTTTTGATGTACCAAACCATTTAACAGGATTGCTATTGATTACTATGTACGAAGTATTGAGTTTTTTTGTAAAGCAAAGAGAAATACACTGTACGTATGTATCTGGCTTTTATCTTTCACTGAACACATTTATATATAAATCTTCAGGTACACCGTAAATTAAATTGCAATTATTGAATATAAATTGCTTTATGATGAACTTAAAAAAATACTAAATATTTTCCCTCATTAACCTGAGGTAGTTTGTAGTGGATGGAAAATCGAAAATGTATTTTCACATTGTACATTGACTTTTTATTGTTTTTCGTCGGAATAAGTTTTAATTTAATGCAATGTTTGTGTACTTATTTCTGAAATAAATGTTATTTTAATATTACATGAAAGTTGGAATTTATTTTTGATTACTGAAGATATTAATGAAAATTACCAATAGTGAACATTGTGATAGTGATTTGTATATTATTCCATATTTTTACAATATTATCGGAATAAAAGTTTTGTGACACAAATAAATTGACTCGAAAATGATACCGTAATTGTTTGGGAAAATTGAGTCGACCATTCTGAATTAACAATAAGTGACATACTTATATGGATGTACATAGGTATGCTAATAAAATTCTTGGATAAGTTCCACAAAATTTTTAAATATTCTTGACGGGTGTATTTCACCTTATGAAAGCATCTTCTGAGATAGCAAAATATACTTATTGTCCCTAAGAGTTGGTAGAGTTGGATTCCCTCCAAGGAGGACCTATCGAATTTTAATTGGATTAGAAGCATTAGAAAATAAGTCACTAGTAAATAATAAAGACAAAGTCGTAGGTACTTAAGTCTAGATAGTAAGATAAGTTGTCAGTATATGTTTTGTTACTGCTGAAGATGCCCTTTTACGGCGAAATAGGCAAATACAGGGAATTAAAAAAAAAAAATACAACGCGTAATTATACAACACGCTACTGAAGTGAAACTTCTTCAAACACACAAACATGTCGGGAGAGGTGTTAAGGAATTTGTTTAATGGTATTATTTGTACACTATCAATTTAAGTTTTACACTATACATGCCGGAGTTGCCTGTAACAAACGTTGCATTGAAGCGCGCTCACGGTTCAAGCGATCCCCACTACGAACTCGACTACGTGGCCGAGTAGAAGGGGACATCCGTTGCATGATTTCGTTACATAGCAACTCGCATGAAACGAACTTACCCTATCGTGCGTAAAGAAGTTTCACTTCAAAATAGTTTTTCTATTATACATTACTTGTCTTATTATACAAGAGTTCTATATTCCAACCAATTCGTTACTTAATGACGCAAAAGAAATTTTCTGAGGGAACATGTAATATCTTTTATCTAAATCGATACAGCTTGCATTTTTGAGACGTTAAGGAATTCTAATATATAAGTATGTAGTAGGTAAGTAAGTGCTTGAATAGTAGTCGACCAGATTTTCGTGGTCGTACATGGAATAGAGACATACGTACAAGTGCAACAGGTAGAGAAGATCCCGCAAGACTGACGTGGTATTCCCCCGGCCAGGCGGCACTCAGCACGGTTTTTGCAAACCCCTTCGATGACAGAAGAGTCTTCCAAAACTGCTTGGCAAGCACTGTTCGGTTCTCGAATGAGCTGGTCTGGAAAAGAAGCGATTTCCTGCACTTAGTGCACACAGTGTAGTTGGGTACATACACGATGGCGATGCTTCAACCGGGAACGTGAAGTTGTTGAATTATGGATGAAGCTCTCGCGTAAAGGGGTGAAAACATGAAGTAATTTTCGCTAGATTTATCGGAAAACGCCCCCGGCTGGCTTCGCGGTCGGTAATGTCTATGGTTAGATGGAAAATGCAATAGCGTCACCTACAATGTTCTGTAATTGGTCTATTGCATGCCCCCGGATAATACCATCGTCTTTTTTCTTATATTTCTATTTACATTTATCGATAGAGAGTAGGTAGCGCATCTTTAAATTGACAATATCCCATCGCCATCGTCTTTTATGTAAAGAGGTTCGTCGAGACTCAATCATTTCGAGAATAATGTATTTGATAAACGCTGACAGTAATAGTTGCTTGATATGATTTTTGAAATTTTAATGAACTATCTAATTTGGGTTTTTTGTGTCTGTTACTTCATGTTAAGAGGCAGCCAAACCCTACTTGGGGGTACAATAATTCCTTTGATAGATAAAGTAATGCATGCAAAAGCACTTCTTATATTTGCGATAGCACTTTCGGTCTATGACATCTTCCAATTAGATAGTTTGATTACTTATTCATTTATCATTATAAATTCACCAGTCTTAAGACTGGTTGAACACGCACCTCCACTCTTTCCTACCCTGAGCTAATATTCGCATTTCCCTAACACTAGAAAATCCCACATCCTTAACTATTTGTGAACTGTTATCTAATCTAAGTCTACCTCTATCCCTCCTAACTCCAGTTTCTTCCTCTAATATGTCGCTGACTAGTCATTAATGCCTTAAAAGGTATCCTACCAACCTATCTCGCCTATTTCTTATTGACTTCCATGCAGTCCTCTGTTCTCCTATTCTTTCTAATACCTCCTCATTTCTAACCTTCTCTATCCACGATATCCTCAACATTCGCCTGTTACACCACATTTCGAACGCTTCTAACCTCTTCTTTCCGCCGCGCTTACCGTCCATGGTTCGCACCCGCACTACTGATAAGGAAAAAACTACAGTGGGGTCATATTTATATTAGAGCTTTTGGGGGACATATTAATATAACATTTATTATATTTTGTAATATTTGTAGGCTATAGAAATGATGCAATGACAAATGAAATCTTTTCGGATTTGTCGTTTAACGTAACCCGATAATTAAAAAAATGTTTATTGTCATTTCTTTTCCACACCTCATTCTAACCCTTAATTTGTTGTACCTCACCTGTTTGTCTTTTTTCATAAACTATGTTTCTATCATGTATTTCCTTTGTTAGTCATATTAGATTCCTATTTTTGACTAAGGTAAGTAAAAGATAATAATAATTGTTAGATATAGAGAAAAAAAACGTTTTTTGAGTTTTATGTGCTTACTCACCACCCACTTTGAACTATTAGAAAAATTCCAAAATGCATTTTTCGAAAAAAGAAACAAGATAAGCAATACAACTATCGAAAGATACCTCTAAAACGATTCAACCCTGGCAACTTGGCGATCGACGATTGAATTTAATCTCACGTAGTGCTGCTGAGGGTCGTACCTACATATGCCGGAAATCCCATGAATTATTTAGACAATGTACGGCAGCCGGGAGCCATATTTTTTAAATTCGAACTACCAAACAACAGATCTATTTCAGTGATGATGCGAGTATCGTCAACAAAAATCAGTTTATTTCACTACAATTAGTGGCGTAACTAGAACATTCAAGGCTCACTGCAAAAGAATTTTTGGGATACCTTTTCCTAAAATATGAAAATAAAAGACAAACTATAAAATTCCTAAATAACGAATAATGTTGCAGTTTTTACAAGAATACGGAATATGGGATCACATGCTAGACGCCTTAATTCAGGGACCCGATGCAGAGCGCCTGGTGTCCGTCACCTTAGAAATCTTCTGGTTGAACTTTGAAATTTGAAAATTGGTTAAAGTGGACCCGAAATTATGAACAATTTCATCCTGTCACGCTAACATCATCCAAATTTAAATTGACTTGAATCACAGTAAAGTGCAAACTTTTGCTGGTTTAAATTTGAAAATCTAAGCAACAACTTCAACTGAAAAATCCAAAAATTGTTTTACAATTAGGCATCTTTTGATACGGCAACCAAAACGCATACCTACCTAGTGTTTGGAAAGTGTAAAAGAACCGTTATTTGAAGTTGTTTACTTTTATTTCTTTTTTAAAAAGGCATTCAGTGGTCGTCACAGTCATAACCCGTTTCAATATCCATTAACACCCTTTCGAAATTGACATAAACCTTAAAGGCATTAGTTACTTAGTAGTCACCTTAACCTTAGCAATTTAAATTACCTGTACTTGTCTGTAGACTGTAATTTCATTTGAAAATATGTATGTAGGTATGTATGTATGTATGTATGTATGTATATACTGATAGTATTCCATTACCTATTTTTTTCTCCTTTATTAGAGTTGGTTAAAGGAAATTTTGCAATTACTTTCACGCAAGGGAGTACGCAGAATTTTTGTTCGGGAGGAAGGCTAATTTTTAATTTAATTATCTATGTTTATTCTTGTATATAAACTAGACCTAAATTTATTCTTCATAAAATGTGTGTACATATTGTGTATAAAATTTCTAACACACAGCAGTGTGTTTCTTTTCAATTAGAATTAATGATTTTTCTTTTCATTCCCAGTGTGGTCAAAATATCTCTCCATTATTTCCGATCGTCCATGAAGGCACGCTTGCTCGATTCTAACCCTTACCATAAAGTACATTTTTTACGAAATTGTCATTTCTTGCTGCCACTACCCTCTACATATTTCTAAAAATGTGTTTTACTACTTATTATAGTAACTTTCTCGTTTTTAAATAGATCCTTCACTACTACCACTTGTTTCACTTCATGCTTAGGGTATTCTTTTGATTTCGGGGGGCGGCTCAACCCAATAATCCCCCCTAGGTACGCGCCTGATTTCACATGCTTCCAATATCTTTCCTTTATTTACTCAAAATTGTGTTTGGAATTTATTGAATAAATATAATTAACGGTAATCATTTCCGTCTTCTAAATTCCCTAGATTCGTTAATGCAATTATATTAAACGAAAACATGAAGAGATGGAGCAATGAATATTTGAGAAAACTCGAAATAACCCCCTTGTCAAAAACAAAGTATGACTTAATAAGAGATTCAGTGCAATTTTATGATTACAACTCCATGAATGGAGAAACAGTAGACGAAAGGTTTCAATAATATAGACCAGGGCTGTCCAACTGGCGGCCCGCGGGCCGTATACGGGCCGCCAAATTATCTTTGCGGCCCGCGAGTACATTTTACTATGAATAAATTTACGTAATTAAATTAATGTTATTGATATTGTTATTAAACAATTACGGCCACAATGTTATCATTAATAAATTACGAATATTTTAGAGTTTTATCTTCAGTATAAATAAAATATTTCCTTAATTAACATAAACTGACTACATTTATAAACTTTCTTGGCCCCCGAAATGTTTGGTGAAGAAAATATGGCCCGCGAGCTATGATAAGTTGGACAGCGCTGCTCTAGACAAACATCTTTCAACAATATTTTTCGAATTTCGATATTTACCGTTCGCGGGCATACATTTTCCATCCTGAGTTGTCTGACTTCTTAGTTACCAGAAATCAGTTTCTTATAATTTTTCTTCTTCTATCTTTATAGTCGCTGTTCTACTGCTTTTTCTTCCCTTGCATACCAGTATTTTTGGTTTATTTTTATTTGTACCATACTGTTTTGTCAATACGATTACATTTCATTTGAGGATATAATAACATATACATAAATAAAACCTACAGAGATGATTGTTTGTAAATTAAACGCAATACAATATTCCTTATCTCAATTTTCAATACTTTCCTAAGAAACAACTATTTTTCTAGCAATACAAACAAAAACTATCTATAAACGTATTGACCTTATTGATCTAATATTACCTTATCAGAATGTAAAGGGGGCACCTGTATCTACCTAATTGATATTTAACTCTTTTTGATATATAAACGCTTGGAACATTACATTGAAATGAAATTTAACAAAAGTAATTTAGTTTGCGTGGAATAATTTAATTTTTTTCAAATACAAAATGGCCAGCAAACCTTTCATCACTCTTCTATCGTTTATTGCGCTAGGGTGCTGGTTAGTAACTGCATCTCCAGTAGAAGGAAAAACTCCTGAACCTGCCTACAGTCAAAGCAGGGGGTCTGTGCTGAAGAATAAGCAGAATCTGACAACTGAAGGACTAATAGAAGAAGTAAGCATTTCTTTAAGATCACTCAATTATATATGAAATATTATTCTGAAAATTAATTTGTGAATTTTTACCCACTACACACTTCCTCAAATTAATGAGGAAAAATTTGTTGCTGTTGTCACA